AAGAAGAGACCACATCCCAGGACGGGGGTGTGGAGCAGGGGTGCTGCACAGTGGACCTGTGTTGAAGGAAGGGTCTGGACACTGACTGCACACGACCCCTCTCCTTGGGTAGCCCATGAAGCTTGTCCTCACGGGTGGTACTGGGAAGAACTATAAACCCAGTCTAGGTTTCTTCGAAAGGCCCAGCATCAAGGTTCTTAGGGGAAAAGGTAAATTGTTACCATCAGGAAGCAGGCAACAGGACTTCAATGAAAGCTGCTGAGGCTACTGTTTGCTTCTAGACATTCAATTAGCCTCTTGCTTTTCAATTCCAAATAAAGCATGCACAGAGGCTTCTTAGGAATTGAATAAGAGTTTTCTAAATATCACTGAATTGGACATTAATCAGGTGAGCATTGTGATATATAAATTATACCTCAGCAAAGTTGTTTTTTAAAGACAGGGAGGGGAGGAAAAGGAAGCCTGCTTTAAAAATTGTATCCAAGACACTCAGTGTCATCTTTGCCTTTATTTGATGTTTAACTTTCAACTATAAAAGGTGGGGGTGGTATTTTGTAGATGAAGTTTCTGTCCCTCCTGGTCCTACAGCCATTTAGTCACAAATAAACACACAGATGCTTATATTAATTATAAACTGTTTGGCCAATGGCTCAGGCTTCTTATTGGCTAGCTCTCTCTTAACTATTATCCCATTTCTATTAATCTAAATATTTCCACATTGTATTGGCTTACCAGAGAATGCCCAGGACCTGTTACTCCATCAGCAGCAACATGGCATCTCCCTGGCAGCTCACCCTGTACATCCTCTCCCCAGAATTCCCCTCGTCTGGCAGCCCCACCTATACTTCCTGCCAGGCTATTGCCCAATCAGTGTTTTATTCATCAACCAGTAATAGAAACATATATACAGAAGGGCATTCCCCCATCAGTATTTATGTGTCTGTGTGAGTATATGGGACATGTGTGCAGGTATCCACAGAAGAGGGCATCCAATAGGTTGGAGCTGAAGTTTAATGGAGCACACACCAAAGACAATTTGTGTCAGTTTTCTGGAGGAGAGACTGGATCTGCCCACCATGTTGTCCTCTGTGCCAACCTTTTGGGAGGAGAGATTTTTGGGATCCATCACTGGGCTTCTTCTGATTCTGAACCCCTTTAAGGTGAGGAAAGAAGGGGGGGGGAGAAGGAGAGAGGGAGTGAGGGGAGGATAAAAAGGGAAGAGGGGAAGGGGCAGGAGAAGAAGAGAGGCACAGCTTCCTTTCTTCTCTGTCTCCATTTTCTGGGGTGACAGCTCCATGCGCTGTCCAGTTTGGATGATTCTTAGGCATGAGGTACTTACCCCAGCACTCTAGGAGAGAGGAGTGATTTCTAGCAGTGACCACCTTCCATGAAGGCACTGGAGGAATGTCTGTCACCTGCATGAAGGTACATAGTCATTGGTTCGGTGATCTAGATAGGAAACTGACCATCCACAAGCCCCTACATGGCCTTCCTTGCTACACACTCCTATCTATCAGCAGGCTTCACTTCTTTCACCCATTAAAGGAGACTCCCAGAAAGATTTTGGAAGTCCCTAACAAGCAGACAGTGACCTTCAGATTCCTCCCAGGGTTTTCTGCTACTGCCCCATTCACTCATTCAACAGATTAAATACCTGTGAACATAAAGAAACACACACACATACACACATACACACACATACACACACACATACACACACACACATACACACACACACACACACACACACACACCCACACACACACACACACACACACACACCCACACACACACACACACACACACACACACACACACTGGAATTTTATTCATCCATAAAAGGACAACAAAATCATGACATTTTCAGGAAAGTGGATGGAGCTAGAGGTCATTGTGTTAAGTGAAACAAGCCAGACTCAGAAAGATAAATGTGGCATGTACCTCTCAAATGTTGGATGTGGATTTAAATTTATATATGGGGTGCATGTGCAGGACATAAAAGGGGCTATGGGAAAGGGGAAGCAGTCTTGAGGGGAAGAGGGGACTGGAATACATGTGTAACCAAAACAAAAAAAAAGAGACAAATGGATTGTTTGGGAGAGAAAGAGGTCCAGCCAGAATTGGGAAAGAGAGAATTGAGGAGGGCAATGGGGGTGGGAGGATAAGAACAAAGTAGACTGATGTACATGTATGAAAATGCCATCATGTAACATTATACTATATGCTAACTTAATATTTAATATAAAAATGGAACGTGTGTGTGTGTGTGTGTGTGTGTGTGTGTGCCTGCACATGGGGTGCATGTATGTGCAGGTGTGACTGCACATGCGTGGAGACCACAGGACAACCTTGGGTGTCACTCCTCAGATGCCTTTGTGTCTTTTCTAACAGTGTGTCTTTTCTAACAGTCCCTCAGTGACCTGGAACTGAGTGGGTAGGCTAGATTGCCTGGGCAGTGAGAATCAAGGCTCTTCCTGTCTCTGCCTCCCCAGCCTTGGGATTACAAGCACATGTCACCATAGCTGGCTCCTTTTTGACATGGAAATCAAATTCCAGCCCTCATGCTTATAGAACAAACACTTCACCAACTGAATCACTACCCCATCTCCCAATTCCCTAGTTCATCTTTAAGAGCATGCTGGTTTCATGTGGCTCTCATTTGTACCCACACCAAGTAACAAGGTAGGGACACAGTGCTGTAACCTCTGTCTTCAATATGTTTGTAATACATTATTATGCAACACAGGCCTAATTGTGAATCATAATTTTTTCATTAACTGATCTCATTTTACTTGGTAATATCCATTTAGGCATTTGAGAGCAATAAAACTCCATTTCTTTTAAATATTATATGATTCAGTTGGCTCACTGATTTAGATTTTACTACACCCTATTTGAGCGAATGAGTCATCTATCTTTGTAGAGATAACGAGGACCTTCAAGATCATGAAAGCAGGCCTCATGGGGAGAATGCACAGATGCACCCTAGTCTTGAATGGAGTATTCTGGAATTGGGCTGGCTCCCACATCTTAAAACCCCTCAGAAATGCATTGCATGGGTCATACTGTGCTCCTCAATAGATCCTAACCTGAGTTTTCTTTTATGTTCCTTAAAAACAGAACAAATAAACCAACAAACAACTGGTAATGAGATGACTCACCTTGTCCTGTGGGTCCCAGCTTGCTGCTATGAACAGCCATAAAATGCAGTGGTGGGTCCACTGTGTGTGTGTGGGGGGGGACATGGGGGAGCCTCCCAGGATGGAATCATTCCAGCTCTTCCTCTTCCTCCTGGGTGACCCCAGGCACATACCTGGTGCTCTTTGTGTCTTTCTCTGAGGAGAGTCAGTTAAGATGAAGGGTTGTGTGGGCATGCTTAGGAAAAGGCCCTGCCTTGGGCCTGGCTAATGTTAATGAGTTACACCTCCAATCTAGTGGGTGGTCAGAGCCCCAGAGGAGAAGTTCTTATGCAAGCTCCCCCTGGGAGTCTGGTGGGCAACTGAGAGTCCCTTTATGTCCGTATCCATCTCTTCTCGCTCTCACCTCAAGCCTGCATCACCTTGCTTGGGTCTGCTTTCTGAACTTCTGAACACTTCTAGCCATGCCAGTGTCCTTCCTCTGAAACCCAGAGATCCTGGGAGCTTGAAGCCTCTCTCTGTGACCAGGCAAAGCCACGCTTCCTAGATCAGCTCTTAGTAGAGTGACTTAAGAGTAAGTGGCCATTTGGAGCATTGAGGGCTCTGATCTTGAAGACCTGAGGACCCTGACCCTGTCTCCAGCTTGTGTCGTTAGGTATGTTGTGCACCTACTAGCTCCATACAGACACCTGAGGGAACACAACAGGTGCACTATACCTGCCTCTCCTGTTCCTGGCCTACTTCTGCATTCTTGGGTCTCTATCTGGACCCAGGCTCTGGGATCCACCTTATATGTTCATGACACAGAGGGAAGCATATCCAGTGGCCTAGACATCTCTGTTTACTGTCACTGCTTTAAGTGTTTTTCCTGTCTGTCCCAGGACACTAGTTTAAGTTTTGGCCCACAAGCTGTGCTAGATCTGTTACTGAGTATCAAAGAGGGATTGGAAGACCTACTCCCGCTGCTACTCCTGGTTCCCATTGATTGTGTGTTCACTGGGAGACAAACACTCACCTAAGTGCTGAAGCATTATCTTCTGCAGACCTCAAAAGTCTCAGATCTGTGATCTCCACTTTGAAGGAAGGGAGGCATGGGCTTATAGAGGCTGGTGCTTGCTGTGGCCTCACAGCTCATGTATGGTGGAACAGAATCTGAATCTCTGACCATTCGGATCCAGAGCCAGTGGTCTAGACAGGAAAGCCCCCTCCATGTGCCTGGGGAGATGCTGGGAAACCCTGAGCTGCCTTTGAACCTGAGGGGATGCCTTCATGAATCCACCAAGGGGCCCAGAGAGCAATTCCTAAAGTGTGTGGCAGGTAGCTATTACCTGGGTCTGGATGTCCCTGTCTGGGTAGGCAGAGACAGCTGGGACATGGATGTAGACTGGCTGTAGATAGGACCAAGACTATAGTGGTGCAGGAGGGCAGGCTGGGAAAGAAGCAGAAGCCCACTTAGGAGACAGGGCCAATATTGTTGGCAGAAGGATAGCCTGGAAAAGACAGCATTTCTGTGTCAGCATGTCAGGCTCATAACCATCAACTTCTTGGCAGCCTCTGCTGGGTATATTTCTATATCCCTGAATGTGATGGTTATTGGGTGATGGCATGATAGATTCATGGGTGAATGGATCTTTGGGAACCATGAAAATCCTAGTTTCTCCCCCACTCACTGAGGAAGGGCTTATGGTTATTGGGTGATGGCATGATAGATTCATGGGTGAATGGATCTTTGGAAACCATGAAAATCCTAGTTTCTCCCCCACTCACTGAGGAAGGGCTTATGTAAGGAAGGGAAAGGGGTTGGTGTTGGCATATACAGGGTTACATTCTGACCCACTGTCTCCTTGTCCCTTCTTTCTCCAGAGGCTCCTGCCAAGCCTGAAGAGGCAGAGGCTGAGCCCTTCACGGACTCCTCCCTGTTTGCACACTGGGGTCAGGAACTAAGCCCCGAAGGCCGGCGTGTGGCCCGGGTCAGACTCTGTCTTTTTCCCATCTTAGCCAGGGCCTAACCTTTTAGCCTCAGTTTCCCCTCTGCTGAATAGGGGGACAGCTTCTTTACATTAGAAATTTTGGGGATTAATAACACAATCATCCCGTTAAGGCACCAAAATTATCTAGCAGCCCCACTAATATGTCATTTTAAACCAATTAGCTGGAACTTTTCCCCCCTTAAATTAGTTTTTTTTTTTTTAATATATCTGTCTTCTAGGGTGAACAAGTCATTATACTTGACAGAGAAGTCTGTCTTGACTTTTCTTTTTGTTACACAAGGATATTTCTTTAAGGTTCAGCTAGAATCTTTATTATTCATAATTATTAAAATTTGGGCACGTACCATAGTGAGAAAATCTCATTAACTTTTGTGAGCTCCCCAATACCTTCATTCCCCCTTTCTCCTCATTTTAAAACGTTCTTTAAAGCTGCAAACAATACTGAGTTTCTCTTTGGGGTTTTTAGGAAAGACCTTGTCGCTGAGTTTAGAAGAGATGGCTTCTTAGAGCAGTGAATCTCAACCTGTGGGGCACAACCCCTTTGAGGTCAAATGACCTTTTCACAGGAGGTGCCTAAGACCATTGGAAAGCACAGATCTACATTACAATTCACAACAGTAACAAAATTACAAAGTTGCAACAAATATAATTTCATGGTTGGGGTCACCACAACATGAAGAACTGTAGTAAAGGATCAAAGCATTAGGAAGATTGAGAACCACTGTCTTAGAGAAAGGAGGTCACCTCAGCTTCACCAACATTCACTGAGCACTTACTAAATACTGTAGAATCAAGTATGGCTGTCCTTGGCCTGAGGAGAAGGTGGCTGAACTATAGTCATTTGGGAACTGGGGACCTACAAATGGGGAGATGTGGAGAACTGAAAGAAGATGGGTGGGGGAGGGGCCTCCACTCTGAGTCAAGTAAATCAAGGGCCAGGAAGGGAGCCTGAGTCCCAGAGATGGATAAGTAGCCCAACTGGACTTTGACCCACATGTTTGGGTGCCAAACCTGGATTTGGTGAAGGTCCCCAGCTGTGTTTAGTTTGACTCTGTACAATGCTTCTCAGAAATGACCCCAAGCCCCTTGCCTTCTCCTTAGAGAAACATTCCTCTTGGTGTCCCTTCTGGAGGGATTTGCCTAAGGAGGGGCACTAGGGGATCTTGTATGGACAGCATCCTGCAGTTTCTGAGGACATCATCAGCAAAGAAGGTCCCATCCCTCTTCACTGCACTGTACAGTTTGTGGGGCCCACACACCTTCCATGGAGGGCAAGCTCATTTCACTTGGCCCTCTTCCTCAGGCAGAGAAACTGACTCACCAAAAGAGGCAGTAAACACTGAGACTTCTCTCCTCAGAGAGGGCTCTTTGCTGGTGGTTTTGGCAATGGGAGGCTTCTTTTTGCACATGAACTTGGTCACCTCTGACCAGCTCAGTTCTACTTATGCCAGAGCCATGGCCAAGACAGACGGCTGTTGGTGGACCACTGAGTGCAAGCAAGGGAGAACTGAGCAGCAACAGATCGGTACATCCTGTGTAACATGTTCTGAAAGCATACTGCTAGTAGCTCTACTCTCTTTCAGTCTACAATGGCAAACATTTGTAATGCAAAGCACCTATTTGTAGGAAAATGTTTGGCACTGTTCAAATGAACTCTGGGCTTCCACAGCCCCTACCTTGCTGGAGTAAGCTGGGTTACTGAGACTCCATTGCAGAGAGGAGGGGAAACTGAAGCACATAGAGACCGCATGAGCTACCCAGTATCCTTAGAGTCAGAGTTGGAGTGGCAAGTCTAGCAATAGAATTGGGCCAGGTAACCGTTGTGCTATACTGCTGTGAGGTGTCAATTTGTATCACTGTCATGGGGGACTGCTTTCCATAGCACTAAACATTGGCTTCCCATAGCACTAAATATTCAGAGAGGACAAGGGCTGCATCTCTATTTTTGGAAAAACTGTTTGAAAGAACAGCAACCCACAATCAAAGCTTGGAGTGTTGCATTGGCTACAGCACCTGTCTCCAGAGAGATTTTCCATGTGGCATATGTCCCTGGTCCTGCCTCTCCCTTGTGGTCTCTGGCTGGTCTCTGGGTGCTAAAAGATATAATCTAACTTTTGTTATATGCCTGTGTTCAGAACAAAGTACAATCAAAATGAAGAGTTCATTCAGTTGGTCCTGGGTTTCGTGAATTTCTTCATTCAATAAACATTTCTTGAGCATGGAGTTAATTTAACCAGACACCAGCAGAGCACAAGACAGGCCAAGCTCCTGGAGCACACTGAGGGGGAGTACAGACAGAAGCCAATGCAGGACAAGGTGGATTTTTGAAGAATTTGCTCATGATTTCCTGGATCCCTTGGAGAAGAACCATTTTGGTGGCTTCCAATAAGATGGGGGCCTAGCTTGTACAGCCCATGGATGTCTTGCCTTCCTTGGTCTCTGTGGCAGGGAGGTGGCCTGAAAGGCGATACCTAGAGAGAGCCTTCCTGTTCTACTGCTGTTGTCTCCTGGAAGGAAGGAAGGAGAGACAGAAAGGGCAGAGGCTTTTTCTACCTCATTTCTCAAGAGAGACTTTCTCTTCAGTAGCCTCGAGAGAAATCAAACTACATCAAACTACATCAGACCCTCGAGAGAAATCAAACTACATCAGACCCTTGAGGAGAAAGGGCAGAGGCTTTTTCTACCTCATTTCTCAAGAGAGACTTTCTCTCCAGTAGCCTCGAGAGAAATCAAACTACATCAGACCCTTGAGGAAACCTATCTGACTAGTGAGCCACCAAAGAAGACCGCATATTACCAAAGGATATGCCGTGTGAGGCTTGAGGTATGGGCAGTGGCCTCCTTGCTCCTTTCTGAGTTGGAAAGAGACAGTGCCTCAGGATTGAAGGGAAGGCACCTCATTCCTGATTAGCTGAATGTCACTCTGTCCCCCATGGGCACTGAAATAGGTGCCAGATGTGAAGTTTTCAATATGGGCCCTATCCTGTCTCTAATGTCTGAACTCTTTGTTTTTGCCACCGAACTCCAAAATAACCCAGGGCAAAACCAGAAAAGGGTAAGTGAGAGGTACACACATGTACCAGAAGTCATCAGACAGCACATTGGATGTCTGTGTGTTTGATTGAACACGAGTCAAATATCAACATGTTGAGAAAATGAAGTTGAGAAGAGATCAGGGAATCCTTTGCCCCTGGGTAGAAAGGAGGGAGGTGAGGCTAGGGATGCCACTAAAAACATGAGTAAGGGAGTGGCTTGGAAGCAGGGCCATGAAGAATTGAGGCAGTGGCCACTTGGAAACAGTGAGGACAGGTGCACCTGCTACCCCAGGTGACAGCAGATCAGGTGGTGTCACATTCCTGCCCTTGGCTCCCTTGTGTTGCAGCAACAGACTCGCCTGTTCTTTCCTCACAACAATAGTTATTATTTCCAAACAGTAGCCATAGAGGAGTCTAAGGGCAAGTGCCTGCCCTGAAGGGTGCTGTGGGTATGAGTAAAAGGCTTCCAGCACCAAGCCTTTCAGTTGTCATGGCAACCAACGCTATGGCCTGCCTCCAAGGCAGCTCAGGGCAGAGCCCTGGGCAGTGGCTACTTCCTGCCTCCTGCTGGCAAATCTTCAGACACTCCTGAGTCCTTCCTCTCCAATGCCCCCTGAGGTCCATGTCCCTCCCTCCCAGGGATGAGGGTACACTCATTCTTGGGTTGGCAGGTGTGTTAGGCACTGGGGTTAGGGCATCAGGAGCTGGTCTTTACGGGGTAAATCTGTTTTCTACAACCCTGAATGAGAGCAACTGAGACAGACCCACATTTGTGTCCAAATCCAGAGCCAGAGAGAAAACCTGTGCCAGTGTCAGGAGAGCAGTGGGACAAGATGGCAGCAGAGAAGGAGTCAAACACTAGGACCCTGGGAAGCATATAATGGTCCCAGGGGATGAGGACACTACAATGGGAACTGGGGTGGGGGACTGGACAGCTGGATGGCATTGCTGGTGTTGCTGCCTTTAGGCTGACAAATGGCAGTTAGCACCTGTGCTGTGTGCCAGGGCCATGCATATGCTCTCTCTTTAGCTTGATGTTGAACTTGATCCTCACGCCTCATTCAAGCAGTTGTTACCATTCTGTTAGATGGGAGATTGTTGAACCCTTGCCGGGCTCAGAAACCTTTGGGCTAGGGAGAGTCTAAATCAGTAAGGTGCATGAGGACCCGAGTCCTATCCCCAGAGCCCACACCAGAAAGCCTGCTGTGATGGTGTGTGCTTGAAATCCTAGCATTGGGGAGGTGGAGACAGGTGGGTTCCTTGAATTGCATGCAGAAGAAGTGAGAAACCCTGTGTTATTTTTAACAGTCAACTTGGCACAAGCTAGAATTACCTGAGAAGAGAGTTTCAGTTGAGGAGTTATGTAGGCCAGGTTGGTCCCTGGGGAATTGTCTTGATTGTTAGTTAATGAAGGAAGACCCAGCCCATTGTGGCCAGTTCCTTTCCTTAAGCACAGAGTCCTAAACTATATGAGACAGATGAAAGCAAGCAAGCAAGTATGCTTTATCCTCTCTTCACTCTTGGCTGGTGGTGTGATGTGACTAGCTACTTCAGTTCCTGCCTTAACTTCCCTGAAATGATGGACTGTAATTTGGAATCATCAACCAAGTAAACCCTTTCTTCCCTTTGTTTCTTATATTCAGGGTACTTTGTTAGAGCAACAGAAGTAGAACTAGGATAGCCTGTCTCACAAACAATGTGGTTAGAGACTGAGTTCCCCCTACCCCAATGACGTCTGGTCTCTGCACACACACACACACACACACACACACACACACACACCCTGCTCAGATTCTCACAGGTACTCTGGCAGAGGTGGTGTCTTTATGGGTTCTCAGGACCCCAGGAAACCACCTTGTCTCTTCCCTGACCCTGCCCAGGGGAGCGACTTTGACTTGGGATCTTAGCTCTGGAAAAGCAGAGGTCTGTGAAAGACAGATACAGGACAAGAGGTAAAATAAACACTCCTTGTAAGGACTGTGCTGCCCACATTGGAATTGCTCACAGTGCAAACATGACTGGGAGATCACTCTTTAATCAAAGCACTCTGGGAACATACTTCTATCTCTCCCTAATGTTAAGCTCATTGTGAGCCAAGACTATGATTAGTTGTTCTTGAAGAAGCAGTAATCTTTAACTTTTATATAATATCTTACAAGATGGAGGCAACAGTGTTATTCTCCTTTGCTGTTTGGACCTTATCTTTGAAATTGATTGTAAGGGACATAGAGGAAGTGGGCAATTTAGGGGCCATCCTGTGGGTTACATGACAGGTAATATTTCTGTGTAGGTTATATATTAGTAATTAGATTTGCTTCTTAGGGCTCCAAAGCCAAGTCTCTTGGTTGAAATTTGGGTGACCTCTAGTAAGTTACCTAGCCTTTCTATTTTTTGTGTACAGATAGAAATCTGCTCATTAGAGAGAGCTAGACAAAGACTGTAATATATTTGGTGTCTGGGGCACACTTCCCTGCATGCAGTTGCTCTTGTTATCTGGGTCCATGGTTTAAGAGTTGACTTAATATGCCAGAGGCAGAGAAGAAACTATATGGTATTAACTTGGCCACCTGGAGTTCCATGGTGTGGACAAGGGACATGGGGCAGAGAATTGCTCTGGCAGCAGATGATAGCAAATAGGCACTCTGGGAAACAACACACTGTAGTCCCCAGGGAAAGCTTCCTCCTCATCCCCAGAGGCCTGTGGATCAAAGGTTGAGCACAAGCTGGATCTGGCTGGACAGCAAAGAGACCTTGTTCTCCTTGCCAACTGGTCTCTACCCCGTTCTGCTCCAGCAAATCTAGGTGATACCTCTTCTACTATGAAAGATCTACAGGACCCACCTTCCCCTGCAGATATAGAGGACCCATCTTCTCCCGTCCCTGAGGATCTAGGGGCTCACTCACCTTTCCCTGCACCTGTAGTTCTAGAAGACATCCATTCTCCTATCCCTAGCAGATCTAGGAGGCTCACTTTGCCTCGCTCAGGTAGGTCTAGGAGACCTGCATTTGCTATTCCAACAGATCTAGAGTTTCCACTTTTCCTGCCCCAACCTATCTGCTCTGCCTCATATTCCTCAGCCTTACTTGTCAAAATATGGCGTGCTCACCCACAGACCTACCAATCAGAGCCACCTAATGCAACTTTTCCACCAGAACCTGCTGACTTTTGCTGTCTGAGCAACTGCTCATTTTACATCCGCATTCTCCAAATGGCTCAGATTTTCAGGGAACAAACGAGCTCCCTGCTTCCGGGTATTGTTTCCACTGTAACTCATGGCACTCCTCTTTATCTCTTATCTGCATGGCAAATCCTTTCTCTACATTGATAAAAATCACCGGAAAGGATTTTCATTAAACTTCTGCCTCTGGGAGAAGCTGAGTGTCGATGATCACGTGTGTTCAGCAGCTCACTCCTTAGTAATTCCCAAGCTACATTTTGTTTCTAGATCAGGCCTGGACCATTCCTCACTTGTGCAGATGGCTGGAACTCCAAGATCTCAGGTACCAACATCTGGACCAATCTCTGAAACCTTGTCTATTCCAAGTGCCCCATCCTGGCTCCATTATCCCCTTGTTGGACATGGAATTTTGTTTCCAAAAAGGAGGATTATGTAAGCTGACTCCATCCTTGTCCTGTCTTGATAGAGTTCCCACCAGTACAGTGCTCATGGCCAGATGTGTTCTCCTGCTCATGTGTTTGAGTCTTCCTCCAGGAGTCAGTCAGTCACCAGGCACACTGTGCTTTCTGAGAATCGCCTTGCTGAACATTGAGCCAGGTGCTGTGAATTCCTGGGGTGCACACAAGTCTGGATTTCATGTAGCTTACATCTGACAATCTGCCATAATCACATATGCATTGCAGTAGCATACGGTGGCATGAAAGCAAGCAACAACAACAAAATGAAAACAAAAACCAGGGCATCATGGGTCTCAAATGATTTCAACAGGAAATGGAGTGAGCCTTTCTGTGTATGTGAATTGCGGATTTTTGCAGATGGTGCCAACCCATGCCTTCATGTTCAGAAACCAGCAACAGACCATGGAGCTGGGACATGTGGCTTGAGGTTACCTCTTTATTCCATTTCTGCTACATCTCTCCCAATGGTTCATGTTCATGTCAACAGTTGCTCACTGTCAGTGTTCTGCTTCCTGCCCTGGACTTATGTCTCTGCCCCCTTAGAGTATCTCAAATTCAAGGCACCCATAAGAAAGTCTTAAAAAACTCTAAGGTAGACTAGAACAGAATTGTTTCCGTGGTTTGTCATTGGTGCCTTATTTGGGTGACTAGACATCTGTTCACATCCTCCTGGGAAAAGTCATACAATAGGCTGCCATATAAGTCAAAATGAGGCTTCAGACTCAATCACTGGCAAAGATGCATGCTGGGCAGATGACACTGAACCTTTATACAGGTATCCCTGGGACTGCTTCTTTCAAAGGAAGTAATGTAACTGGAGAAAATCTCAAGCTTCCATGCCCAGCAGGCTTCAACACATTGGCCTGAACCTTCCAGCCAGACAAAAAAAAAAAAAAATCCCCTTTCCAGTCCTCATGCAGAATTAGCAGCCTAGGAGCAAGGCCTCCCAGTAGGCTTCATTGATGCCACTAACACAACACCTGTCTCCCTGGGCACACCTCTAGAGGCATAGAAAGCAAGGTGGGCATCATCATGCAGCAGGGCTTAGCAGTCAGATGAGCCCAGACTTAATTAAGCCCCAGAGGATAAATTCCCTCCTCAACTGCATTCCCTTCATCTGTGCAGCAGGGATGAAAATGCTGAAAGGTATGGTAGTTGTTGGGAGCAAGAAAACAATAGAAAAGAACAAAAGCATGCCGTGTGGCATAAAGGAAATGCTTGCTGCTACTCTTACTCCCAGGGATTCTGTGTGGCATTTTGGAAAAAGTGGAAGAAAGTACAGGAGTCCCTTGGCTCCGAAGGTTGTGAAGATGGGATATGCCGGCCAGAAGGAGGGACAGTCTTGACTTTTCTTATGCCAGTGAGAATTGTCACATTGCCTCATCCTTGGGTCTCCTTGAATCCGATATCCTGGAAGCCAGCAGGTGTGAGTGTCACTATAATCTGGAAATATCGTAAGCTAGAAGGATGCCAAAGTGAGGTTACAGGTACCATGCATGTTATGTGGGCACATGGAGGAAAGTGTATGGTATAGGAACACCAGCATTAGGACCAAAAGGAGACCTAGAGGGACAACAGGAGCCCTGGGGGGACAACGGAAGCCCTGGAGGGACAATATGTGTTGCTTGCTGGTCTTGAGGGCTACAGCTCTCCCTGGGTTTATGCTCTTGATGACTAACAATTCAGCTCAACACCATATTCTGACTATAGCTGAGAGTGGAGCATGTCCCTGGGAGAAGTTTGGGAAGAATGGCCAGGACAACCTCTCTCTACCCCTGAGTGTCATCTTTTCACTTTCTTTGCTCAGGCAGGACTCTTTGCTACATTCTCAGAACTCTGGCACAGAGAAGTTCTGACCCCAAAGTGCATTGGCATCTCCTTTGACCTCATTCTAGAAGTGGTGTGCTCCATCCTCCTACCTGGCAGGTCAAACTGCCCCGTGAATCATCTTATGGACACCAATCTTGTCTGTTTGTTGAGGTCAATGAAAGGACAGAGACTGCCAATCCAACATGGAACTGCCCAGCTGCAGGGCATGGGGATTTATTTCCTCATTTGATGGCCAAGAACTGGGCATGGTCTTATACAGGGGTCTACTGCTTCCATTCCTCTCATAGATAATGACACCCAAATCTTGATAGAAATTAGTCTTGGAGATGACTCAAAACAATCTGGGGGTAAATCTTCAGAGAGGCTCCATAAGTTGTCTTGTTTCTTGTCCCTGCATCTCTTTTTGTGTGTGGAGATCAATGGAGTGGAGTTTATTGGGACCATCAATTCAGCTTATTAGACAGTCCTGACACCCCCACTCAGCTACACCTTGTTTTTATTTCTAGTAGAGAACAGCTTGACTGAGCAAGAGTGAAAATAAAAAAGGTAACTTTTATAGCTTAATTTTATAGGGGAAAGTGCCTCTACTAAAATGAGTCAGGGCTGGTGTTACACAGCTAAGTGTCCTTAAATAAGGACAGGTTGGTGACATCCATGTAGTGTCTTTGCATTGCAATCCTCATGCCCTTCACAAAAGAAGTGAGCACAGAGTGGGGAGAGCAGAGACAGCTACCAGGTGGGTGTGAGGGTGGCTCTGATCCATAGTTTGTGCATAGCATGTCCTCAGAGACCCATGTGTTGAAGGTTTCATGACAAGCCCATGATGCTATTGGAAGGTAGTAAAACTCCCAGGAGGGTAGGACCTAGAAGAAGGAAGCTGGGTGATTGGCAGTACATCTTTGAAGGAGATGTTGGGAGAGAACCTTGTTGATCTTTCCTTCCTGTCCACCCTGAGGTAAACAGCTTTCCTCTACCCACAGTACACTGCTGTGACAGCAACAGGGACAAATGACCACAGGCTAACTCAGGAACCATGAAGCAAAAGTGTACCTTTCCTCCCTTCACCTTCACCTCTCTCAGGTGTCTGGGACAGCAGTGGCAAGCTGACTAACACTCTGTGAAAGCATCTTAACTGGGAAGATACGGACCAGAAGGTATGGTGATTATAACCTAGAGGAGGCAAGTGCTAGATGTGCTCATTACTTTTGCACATGACCAAACTACCTAACAAAAATGACCCAAAAGAAAATGCATTTGTTTCAGCTCATTTTTCAGAGGCTTCATCACATGGTTGGGGCAACTGGAGCATGAGGAGGAAGCAACATTCATCTCATGGTGGACAGGAAGCAGAGCACAAGGTAGACAGTGGGGATCGAGTATAACCCTGAAAGCCATACCTCCCCCCAATGCTCTGCCAGCCAGGGGCCAAGCATTCAACACATGAACATGTGGGGGACACTTCACAGTCAAACTGTAAGATCAGATCCTCTCAGCAGTGTGCATATGAGAGTAAAGGCTACAAGGTGACTGCTGGACTGACAGGAGAAGCCAGCTGAGTCTAGGGCAGGCACACAGAACTTGAATCAAGCCTAGTCTTCCTCTGTGGCATTTCTGGAAGTGTGTTTCTGTAGCAGGACCCCAGAAGCAGACATCTGTCCCATGTACAACATCCTGAAGTGACAGTGAGGGCTGTCACAAGCAAATACATGTACATTTTGACTGATGTGGTTTTTCTTTTCTCTTTTGGTTTCCTTCCCTCAGCAGCTCAAGCCCTGCTTCAATGTTGAGTAGAAAGATTGGAACCACAGCTATGTGTATGTGGCAGGTGGGGTTGGGGAGGATTTGGAAGGAAACTTATTCAACAGATCAGCAGAATGTCTACTGTTTTCCAGGCACCATGGTGGGCAGTGGTAAGAGGCTATGAGCAAAGCCATTCTTGGGCCTCAAGAAACTCATGGTTCAGGGACAGGGTGGCCAGCCATTTTAACTTGTGTGAAGCAGTCATTGTTCTGATACTGAGAAAAATCCAGACAAACAACCTGGTCTAGTTGCTGTGATGGCAAGGGCTGTCCCTTGCAATGGTTGGTGGTGACAAGGTACTGCTTGGGACAAAAACAGACCATACAGGTCATTTATTCAGCCAAGTGTGTTCTGTTGACTGCATGTAAGATGAAAGAGCCTCAAGTTTGCTTAGCAAAAGACTTTTGGGAGATCTTGCCTTCCTATGGTGAAAACATGAGAAAGATAAGAGGCTTGTGGAAGATCATGCAACATGGCAGGCAGAGCCATGAGTAGGGTGCCCAGGTGCCTCCATCTCTGCTGCACTAACAATGACTGCTTTGACTGGTAGCACTTCCCACCCCTCGCTTCACCTAGACTCTCTTTCAGGTAGGTGTGGAAAAACTGAAATGGGGAAGGAAGAAGGGACCTTGCATTATGAGACACCCACCATGATCAGGTTCCAAGTAAAAGGGGAAAAGAAGGCTTCAAAAAGGTTAGGGCATTTGATCTCTTAATGAAGACTGAAGACTGAAGAGTTGGGGCCATAGATGCAGGGAAAGGAAATACAGCTGAACTAGAGTCTGCTGGAGGAGGGAGGGCCTGGCATCCAAGACATCTGTAGTGTGCAGATAAGGTACAGGCTACACAGAAAGTAAATGTGTCTATTTGTGCTTTATTTGATGCCCAAACGCTAACTGACCACCTACTATGTCTGAGTCCTTGTTGAAGATGGCAGGGTAGCAAAGTTGAAAAACAATCCTTACTCTCATGGAGCTACATTCATTGGAGTTAAGGGAGAGATTATAAATGAGTGTGACTATGACATGATGACACATTAGGGGTTCTTTTTTTGTCTTTGAAAGGGTTTGAAAGTCTTTTGAAAATGGTGATCATTTGGGGTTTTAGTTGTAAAACAACTGAAACATTTTGATTGTGCTTGGAGAATGACCAAGGAGGCTGATGTACAGGGGCCATCATGGCTGTCAATGGGGAAATTTAAATGAGTCTTCTTGGAAGGGGGAGTCTAGATAGTTCTGTTCAGAAATAAGGGAAGAGACTGGGGGAAGTCAGTTAACTCTGCCTCTGGAAAACAACCTGAAAAGGCAGAAGTGAGAGCTTGGATCATGCAGTGACCTCATTGGGAACTGTCCACTGTACTTAAAAAGATTAAAAACCAATGTGTTACTTGATGGTGCATGGTATCACTTTTAAGCTTTCTCTCTCTCTCTCTCTCTCTCTCTCTCTCTCTCTCTCTCTCTGGCCTTTTCTCGCGCATGCACACACACACGTGTGTGTGTGTGTGTGTGTGTGTGTGTGTGTGTGTGTATGTGCATGTGACATATATGTTCAAATGTCTGAAGAGGCCAGAATTTCTGGCCTGATATAAACTTTGAAAATTGAACGCAGGTCCTCTGGAAGAGTAGCAGGTACTCTTAACCACAGAGCCATCTTTCCAGGCCCATGTGGCACTGCTTTTAACATGAACTTAGCAAATAATGCATATGTTAGTATTCTCCTGTTTCCATGCTCAGGGAAGGCCTGGATGTCTGGCCTTGGCTGCCTATCATAAATAAGTTCTAGCCAACAGAACTATTTGACCAATTTCCACATACGTCATTGATGTTATTAAAATTGCATTCACAATAACAAAAGAAAAAAGTATCTTTGGGAAGGGTCTGATGAGCTGAAGAAGTTCCTACCTTCACTGTGGTTAGGCAGGCTGCTTGTCTCTTCTCTAGTCACAGCACTGTCCCTGTGGCCCTGTAAGATCTTGACCTGGCCCATTCTTACACACTGTTTAAAAGTCTGGTCAAATCTCTCCTCTTTTTAGCGGGCTCCTTGACCATTCCCTGGAACAGCTGTCCAGACATCATGCTGTGCCTGTGCCCTGTGCTACTTTTCATCTGAACATTTGCTTCCATGTTCACCCATTTCTCCTGTCAAAGCATAAGCCCTACGAGGACAAGGATTTTGTCTGAGTCCCATTGTGCCCCAGTGCCTATCATCATCCCTACCAGGTATATGAAGCTCAATACATAGTTATTCCATTAAGTACAAGAATGAAAGTGTGCTATGCCAGTCTGTTAACTTGATGGCTGCATTAAAATTGCAAGTGTGAAGTAGATTTAGGAAAAGGCTCAACTCCTTTCCCTCCCCCACCTCCCTTTGGTGAGAGAAAAGGAGAGCTGGAAATAGAATGGGAGAAGTTTCTGTAAATTTCTGGTAACCATAGAGACAGTGATTTTCGTTTATTAATCTCCTGCTCTTAAGCAGGCTGGGGCCCCATGGTGATTTCTCCAAATTGCTCAGTCTGGTTATCCTGCAGCCTTCCTCATTAAGAAGAGCAGGCCCATTCCTATCCTGCAGCACTTTAATTACAGCAAGCAGGAGCACTGCTCTCTTATGCTCATTACCTCATGTTCTAACTTGACTGCACCCCCACTTTAGAACAATGCAACATGGCCACCAGCCCTAAACCCCTGGAGCCTTTGGTGCCAGGTGGTGGGTGTAGGTAGATTCTTCCCCAATCCTGGGGCTCTCTCTTTCAGCAATCTTGAAGTTGAGGCTTAGGACCTTCTGGGAGAGCTTTTCATTTAAGTGAGGGCAGGCCACCAGCAGGGGTTCCTGCCCATGAAGGCTATGCTTTTGGTGGAAAGAATTACCCCTGGGAAGTGTGCTCTTCTTGTTGTGTGGCCTCTTGTGGGTTTTGATTGCATGGTTGCTTGCTGTTCTTCCCATGCAGAAAGACAAGCCACCTCTGTGAGTGTGCCTCTGGTCAAGAAAGAGCCCCCCAACCCCACAATGGCTTCAGGAGGCTGGGAAGTGGCCAGTTGGGACAGCTCTTTTTGTGTGGCAGCTCTTCCTCAGGGAGGGATTTGGTGCAGATGTTAGAAGACCAGAGTTGGAATGACAGCAAGCTTCCACTGCACCCATTAGTAGGGACCTCTCAGCTATGAGTGACAATAGGCTTGGTCCTTCTGTGTCTCAGTGTTGGGACTCTGATTTTTACTTCCCTTTGGGTCCTGATGAACAGGATATGGAGACCACTCTCTGAAGTAAGGAAGAGTGGGCTTAACAGAAACATGCCTGTAGGTGGAGTCTCTTATCCCCTAAAGTTGGTCATCTACGGTCTGACCTCCCTGCCTTTAGAAATACTAAGACTTCCCTTTGGCTGAATCTCCATCCTGTTGGTTTAGAAATGCTGAGCATTCTTCCAGCAAATGTTCTGAGAGAACCACTCATTGGACACATGCTACACTAATCACTTCTTACCCTACAACTTGTGAATCCGTATAGGGTCACTTAATTTAATGTGGGAATTGTAAAAGGTCTAAAAAGAGTGAAAGAGTTCTGAATGCACAGAGAGCAAAGCTTAGTTAAAAAGTCAAACTCCGGATGAATCCAAGAAGTTTCTAGAATCACTCACCTATGCTATGTCTCACATCTTCACTGCATCCTTGGTTCTGAACACTCAACACATGCACTTTGCACTGTGTATACACCTAGGCCACATGGCAGTGATGGGTGCTCCCTGAAACAGAGGATTCGGTTCAAGATTGCTGTGTGATCTAAGTTGCAGTATTTTTACTGACCATGCAAAGTTTTCAACTCCCATAGAAACACAATAGTTTAATTAGATAGCAGAACTGCTCATATATCCCATCCACCACCATTTACATGTAAGTTTAGTGTGCCTTTGGACTATGCTGTGCTGAAATGACAAGCATATGGAGATCCCTCATATATTAATTTTCTTTTATCTTTAATAAATGGTAAGTTCACATGTATACCAGGGAATTTGGTTTTAAAATATTTATTTATGATTATTTTAGGTACCTATATACTCAGTGCTACTTAAGAATTTCCTGGGTAAAAAGGGGTTATGGTTGTAAGAAGTCTTAAGAAGCCCTGCACTAGGTGCTTAGGTCCTGCTGTGCAGCTGGCATGGCCACCAACCCATTCTTGTGCATTTGTGGACCAAGCTTTCAGTAAATGGAGACTTATGCTGTTCAAGGCCCATCTTCAGCATACCAGAGATGAGACCTTGCAAAGAACTTAGACTCCTGTGCCCATTAGAAAAACTGAAGGAATTTGGGGGTGGGCCCATACCTGGTGTGACTACAGTGGTGTCACCAGCAGGTCCAAGAGTTCCGTCATTCTTCTTTCCAGGTGCCGAAACCTCTCATTTCCTGACAGCCTGCCAGAGGTGAGCATCGTGTTCATCTTCGTCAATGAGGCACTCTCGGTGCTGCTGCGGTCCATCCACTCAGCCATGGAGCGCACACCACCACACCTGCTCAAGGAGATCATCCTGGTGGATGACAACAGCAGCAATGGTGAGTGTCCATCTCCCTGCAGGCCAGCACCTGGCCCTTTGAAGGCTGATGAGAGTCTTCTGCTTTATGTGTTCATTTCTCAATGTTCCCAATGGCAGTTCCACCCAAGGGGTGTAACCTCAGAGACAGATTTCATGATGGTCACTGCTTGGAAAGTCCATGTGCATCCCAGAGATGCCCAGTCTTCAGTGGCTGACCACTGTCTTTCCTAGCATTCCAGTGCAATATGAGGAGATGAAAGGGCTTATTTACACCACCTCACACGCAGTGACTGTTTCCTATGAAGCATCTTTTCATGGGTGGTGATGCTCACCTCCACTTGGATGATTGTTTGTAGTTACTGTTTTTCCAGCAAGAGTGTGGATGGTGCTGATGATAGGGTTATTGATAGACATGAACCAAATGAAAGCAGTTAGCTGAGCTATCTTTGTGAATCACCGGTTCCCCTCTGATCTCCATGCTCTGTCCCCAGAAAGGCTCAAGCTTGCCTGCAAACTCGCTATTGAACTCTTCAGTGTCTCTTTCTCCAGCTACCTCTATCTCTTGGTGCATGTTCCACATCTCCTGATTCCCACTCTCATATGTTCCCAGAAGTCTCAGGACATAATGATTAGGTGCGGACAGCTTAGAGACCAGTGCTCTCAGCAGAACCGCATCTATGGACATGCTTATGAAAATGCATGACTCAAAAAACAACCAACCATTGTGAGTGGATCACAAGTCCCAGAGCTTGCATTGTCTTTCAAGCCTTCTCAGGTGTAGGTTGTAAATTTCCTGGTGAATCAGTTGCTGTAATGAGGTGGGCAATTTGTGATTTGTTATCAATTAAAGCTGAAACATATCAGATAATTGAAATGGCCTTTCATCTCAATAAGTGAATTTCCCTTTTCATTTTTTCATCATGAGGTAAGGACCACAGGAGCAGAACTGTGAGGAGAGTCAAGAGCTTGGTTCCAAAGGGAATGCTCTTGATTCACTTGCTTCATTGTTCCATGAGCACAAAGAAAGGAGGCATCAACCAGGCTCCATCTCCACTGGTACCCACCCTCACTTAAGATTCAGTGGAAAGGTTTCTCCAGAGAGTTGTGTGCCCCACCTCTCATCTCACATGAGGAAGGGAGGGGTGGCCAAACCTCTGTCCCAGAGGTGAGGGCATTTCCAAATAATAGACCCCCCCAAATCTCATTCTAATACATTTCATCACCGACTAAAGGAAGAGATACTGCTTGATTTTAATCTGTGTGGAAAGCAAAGGGATGTTGGGGCTGGTATTCTAAGAAATTTAGATAAGGAGAGTGAGTCAGATATGGAGGATTTATGTGAATTCTTAAAATGTAGACTTTCTTTTGTCAATGTGAGTAACCATCATATGGTTTGGGTAAGAGGAATGGGGGGGTGAGGACTGAGCAAAGAAGAGGCTTGTCTGCTTTGTGATCTTGGGTTGGGAGGGGGCCTCTGGAAGAAGGGACATAGGTAAAGAGGCTCTTGCAGAAGGGTAGACCAGAAGTCCAAGACCAAGAGGACTGAGAACAAAACATAAACCTGAGAAACATAACAGAGGAAGAAATTGTGGGACCCACCATGGCAGAGGGGACAAAAGAGGGCAGGGCACCAATGACTTGAAGTTTCAAGCCAAGGTGATTTAAGGGATGGTGGGCATTGTCCTGGGACATGGAGGTAGCAGAGTGGTGTGCTGTGGTTACCCATGAATGCCATACATAGATAAACATATTTGTAAAGGGAGTTTGACAGCAATGGTATAATGAAGTAACTCGGCTTTAGGCATGGCTACACTCAGATGCACAGGTGATAAAGCTGCATCTAGCTCCCTGTGCATAACCAAGTAAGCACCTGCATATTGGGCAGATATGCACAAGCTGTGTGGACTGGAGCGGCAGATGATGTTAAGCCAGATATGGTGTTGCACGCCTGTAATCCTAGCACTCCAGAGACAGAAGCAGGTGGATATTTATGTGTTCAAGGCTAGACTGATCTACATAGCAAGTTTTATGCCATCCAGGACTACACAATGATGTCATCTCAAAATAATAATAATAATAATAATAATAATAATAATAATAATAATAATAAATTTTAAAACCACCCAAAAGCCATCCCATGAGATTCTACCTCATTAAATTCGAAGCAGAGTCTGGAAATTGCTGTTTTTAAAGCATCCTTAACAATCCATGGCTCTGACTGACAGCCTGGATGAATGGACCAGATATGCCTTCACTCAGCGCACATTAAGTGTCACTGTCCACTGTGAAGGGGAGGACTCTCAGGCTGAAGTGAGAAGCTGTGGATTCTAAGATGCTCCCTGCAGAGGAGGAGAGTCAGAGGGACTCTCTCTCTGCTAAATCTCAGTAACTTCCTGTGTGATGTGAAGTGAACTGAACCTGTTAGTGTTGTCCCCACCCCAGTCCTCTCCCTTCCCAGAAGACCAGCAAACAGTGAACTGCACAGATGCCAGGAGACCTGAGTCTCACATGTTGAGTAAAGAAGCCCCGAGTGGGGAGACAGGGCGTCTGAAGAAAAGGGTGGCAAGAAGAGCCCAGAAGCTTAAGGAGGGGTTGAAGGTGAGAGAGCCAAGACCAGGAGGGAGAGGGTGGGCAGTGAAAGTGGTGGTAGCAGAATAGGAACTGTGGGAATCAAAAGCCAGTCATTTCTCCAGGCAGGTGGATAAGGAGTCTGAGAAGAAGCCCTTTGGTATGGAATATGTGGCTCTGAAAGCCTTGGTAAATAGCAATCACACAGGCTGGGGCTGGGGATGAGAAGCCAGATGCAGAGGGGAACGCAGGGAGTAAGGATTGACCATGAGGGATTTGACTCCAAAGGAAGATCACCAGCTAAGTCAAGGAGCTAGAGCAGTTTTCCCCCCAAATAAAATTTATAGCATCATCATCTTCTACAGCAAGAAGTTTCCATCTGACCCAGGATAACACGCCTACTCATGCCCCTGTACCTGATTGAAGCAGAACTTCTAAGAAACAATACCTACCCTTACAATGCACAAAGCATTCTGCCATTTCCCATTGTATTCTGTGCTATGGTATTCAATTCTATTGTATTTTGTTCTGTTCTCTCTTCTTTAGAGGCAGGCTGTTCTCAAGGTCCCGAGTGCATATCAAAAGCACTTTGGTGAACTTGGGAGCTGGAGTCCAGGCCATTTCTGTAGTGATTAAGTGGATCTGAATAGGGGGTACCTGAGTCTCTAGCATCAGAAGCACTGAACAGAGGCTCTATAGAAGCAGAAGATGGATCTGGGGTGAAGATGCCAAAGAGAAGTAAGGGTTTATCTGCCCCCCAGTTCAGAGGTACAGAGGATGAATGGAGAGACAGCTGGGGGCTGCAGAGGCAATTGAAGGCATGCACAGTGGTAGGCTCAGTCCTAGCATCCTGTGGCAAGCAGGGGAGTCTAAGACACTCTAGTGTGGAATGGGACAGGAAGGTGTTCAGCAGCAGAGAGATGGTCCTGGCTAGCTGAAGGTAGAAAATGGAGATACACTCTGATGGTACACACCTGGTCTAAGGTCACTTCCTAGTGGCTCAGCCTGACCCAGTGGCTATGTCTTTACCCTGAGCAGCCTCTGTCTGGGGAGCTGCTCCTGTCAGGCATTTTGTCACTCATGCAGGGACTGTCACAAGTTCATCAGGTGGACTCAGTTCAGCTCCATAAACATTGCAGGAGTCTGACCTATCATCAAGTCTTTAATACAAAGCCTGGAAGAAGGAGGAAGGTCCCTTTTGGTCACTTCTTAGTTTTGGTTTTCTTGGGTGCCCTGTGGGGGACCTTCATCCACTCCTTGCCCTGTTGTCTGACAGAGCCCCTGAGGACAGCAAGGGGCAAAGGAAACAAAGGTTCTATGTAGGTGGCAGAGTGCTAAGGGTACTAGGGGGCTGGTTGAAGAGGCAATAATGACATGGCACAGCTGGTGGAGGTGACAGACAGCCTCAGTCACTGTGTAAAGGCAGCTCACCATGATGGGAAAGCTCAGGGCTGCACACTCGGCCAGCCAGCTTTGCAGTTCCAGCTCTCCATAGAGTCTCCCACCAGTGTGTTCTTAACCTGTATGAACCCCGTTCTCCTTATCTGTAAAATTGAGATGTTTCATTCCTACCTCTGGGATTGTTCAGAGTCTTGGATGAGATAAGGAATGGTGGAAGAATTTGGGCTTCTTAGATTCTAAATTAAGCAGTGCAGAGCCATGTGAATGGCTTCCTCACAGAGCCCTCCTCCCCAGCTTCTCCAGAGTCTCTGTGTAAGTTGGTACTTTCTCTACCCACCTTCTCTGCTGCAGCCTGGGCTTCCTCAAACAAAGAAAGGGGAGGCCAGCCATGCTTTCATCCAAGCCTCTCCACTGTTAGCTCCCTCAGAGGCCAGGTCCAAGGCTCTGCCAGTGGTCCTGTAAAGGAGCCTCAGTTCATCTTCTCAACCCCCCCCCCAGCTACTTCCTCCACCAATCCTGCCTTTCCCAGAGACTGGCTTCTACTTAGGATGCTGCCCCTCCCTTGTAAGCAGTCCCAATGTCACTGTCACTTGTGATTAACAATATTGAGATTTATGCCAGGCACCATCCCGCCTCAGGACATTAAAACATGCTGACACGCTCTTACCCCCACCTCATACTTTCCCCTATTGCCTCTTTAGGGCTTCTCTCAAGCCTTTACTTGGGCTGTCAGTGACCTGTTTAAATGAAAGTCCTTGTCCCTGTGTCACTGTCACTCTGCACCCTCCCTGGCTTCTTCCCCTCTGTAGCACCTAATGCCCTCTGGTGGATTGAAGTTAACTGCTTCCTCTCACTAATATATTTGTAAACAATTTCACTCACGAGCATGTACACACACACACACACACACACACACACACACACACACCTCTGCCCCATGTGAAAACTCCAGAAAGATAAAGCATCTTTGTCTCAACTGTATCCCCTGTATGTGCACTAGTGCCTAGAACTTGCAAGGACTCAACATACATTACTTTGATGAAAAGATGA